GTTGTGAAAAACTTACAGGGGTGAATGATATTAGAAAAGGTTGAGAAGCACTGCACTAGAATTATGATTTTTTGTAAATTACTACAAGTTTTAAAACAAATAGAACGTTGTGGCAGATAAAACAGTCTGTTTAGAATTTGAAATATGCATACTAACAACAAATAAGTAAACACCCTCCGATAGTACAAGTCAACTATCTCCATGTAGTCATATGCAAATAACCCCGACGTATAAATACAAGCCTAGTTCTATAAAGACCACAGAATACAAACATCCACACTACGAAAGAAAATATTTTTGGAATAACCTGTATTTTCAAGCAGTTGCGTACTTAAACGATGGAGTGGTCAAAGTCAACAAGAAATCGCATGCAGGTTGTTTACAATACTGCTGTCCACGGTGAATAGGATGATAATGTCGTTCCAGTCACATCGTGAAATAAATCTCTACACGGAACATGACTCCCTTTATTGTATTGTAGTTTAAATAAATGGCCACATTTAACGGTAAATTTTGTTAGAAGTTTATGAATCGTAATATTAATCCCTGTTATATCTCATCAATTGAACATAATACAGGAAGAGAAGTTATACTCAGGAACTTGAAATTGCTATAAACACAAATTAAAACTCGTCAAGTATTATTCCATATTGCATTGATGTGATTCAATGGAGAAACTGGGGACACACAGGAAAGCATTTAATATGCTACAAAGTTGACAATTACCGTCTATAGCACACTTTATAAATGCTTTAATTTAAACACAGAATGTTACAATTCTGTTTCTCTCTAGGACAGCTTTGAGAAGTATAAATTATGTTCTACGTTTGGTAATTTATATATATATATATATATATATATTTACATTCCTCACGAGTAAAAAACATTAGTACTGATAGGACATTTTCTACCAAACCAGCTGCTCGGAGTGCTGCAGTTAGTCTGGTGAGTGGTTCTCTTAGCGATAAAGGATCTTTGATTAAGTCTTAGTAGCACCCATTGCAATTGAATGAGATATGTGACCTGCGAAGCGGCGCGAAAAAAATTAAGGCCAAGGGCTCAGATTTTCTATTTCCTTTTCTGAGCCCCAATTGCTGCTTTCTTGGAAACTCTAACAATGAAACTACTGCAGGAGGAAATGTAAAAATGCCCTAATTATGACAATGAGTCAGCTATAAGTCTCTTTCGGAAACAATGTAGCAGCAATACAAGGAGTGGGAGCATTGGTCCCTAGTGTAAGTTGATTCGGAAATTGTATATCTAGCCAAGGTTGTTCAGCTCCATTGATGGCCAAATATTACTTACCTGTAGCCTTCACATTTTCTGATGTGTTTCAATATGAGTGCATTTACAACATAAAATACCGCGAAAATCAAGAAGATTGGCAATCAGGAGAAAAGGAGACAGTTAAAGAGACTACATTATAAAACAATTAATATTTTGATTATGAGAGATTTTTAACTCGGTTACTGTATCACCTCCCCGAGTGTTACCCCAAGGTATATACCTACATTTAAAATCGGACATCTGGACTTTTCTAATCTAACCAACTAATCTTTCCATCCACAAACAAGCCTAGCTATAAACACTAACAATGGTTTTTTGGTTGGGTACCGATTCTTCTGATATCCCAGCACCAACGACGAAATGAAAAGGATGAACTTTTAACCAAGTGACATATAGTATTTAAATTAACTCTTGACTGTGGATGTTGTTGTTTTTTCTTTAAATTCCTCTTAATTAATTTTTGGATGAGAGTGAAAATTAGCCTTTATTTCCTTTTCTGCCATGAGTGACTGCTCAGGAGGCCGTGCATTCAATAATAATAATAATAAAAACATTCATCAGCCAAGAGTAAATCTACAATGATATATATATACATATATGCAGTGGTGTTAAACGACTAAACAATGAGGCTCTTTACGTTCAGCGCCCTAACCACCTGGTCATGCCAGGCCAAACGAAAACGAAACGCCAATCGCAGTTAAGCGTGATTTCAATTTGTATGTTTATTGATCCTAAGATTTATTTTGTAGTTAAGCACAAAACTACACAATGAGCTATGTGTGCTCTGCCCACCACGGGTATTGAAACCCGGTTTCTAGCGTTGTAAGTCCGCAGACACGCCACTGTATCACTAGGGGGTAGGATAAAATGGGTGAGTCTCACAATCCAGGCAGACTTAATTTTTTTACTGCTATAGTTTATTTGTTTGTAATTAAGCACAAAGCTACACAATGGGCTATCTGCGCTCTGCCCACCACGGGTATCGAAACCCGAATTCTAGCGTTGTAAGTCTGCAGACATGCCGCTGTGGGCTTACTGCTATAGTATTTCTTCAGATGTACAGCATAATATATTCAAACATGTCGTATGTAAATTCCAAAGGAACATGATAAGAAACGCACGAATGAATAACAGGAGAAAATAGGTACTTCAAAATATACTATGCTTTACTATTTCTGATAGATCTTCAATAGAAAGATTAAACTATTTATATTTGTATGTAAAACAAAAGTCAGCAATTATCATTCTTTGTTCCGATTTTCTCTGACGATGAGTTCAGCAGTTCATTTTTACTTATTATTAGAAATTTCATTTAAATTGTGAAAGTATTGCCAAAATCGTATATATAATATCATCGTAAAATAAACAAACTGTCAGTGATTCACCATAAATATAGCCCAGAACTTGTCAATCAACTTGAAAATGTATGCTGATAACACTGAGACTTTAATTTTTAGATGAATTATCGATAACCTTCATTTTAGCCGCATTTATTTAGTTGCGTGTTTGTTTTTGAATTTCGCGCAAAGCTACATGAGGGCTATCTGCGCTAGCCGTCCCTAATTTAGAAGTGTAAGACTAAAGGAAATGCAGCTAGTCACTCTAGCCAACTCTTGAGCTATTCTTTTACCAACGAATAGTGGGATTGACTGTCACATTATAACGGCCCCACGGCTGAAAGAGCGAGCATGTTTGGTGGGACGGAGATTCGAACCCGCGACCCTCAGATTACGAGTCGAGTGCCCTAACCACCTGGCCATGCCGGGCCAATAGTTAGTTGTACGGTTTGGAAGAGAATTTAGTCTATATTACATGACTATATTTACAATACCGTAAACAAGTTTATTTGATATAAGATTGTTTGTAATTAAGCACAAAGCTACACAATGGGCTATCTGTGCTCTGTCCACCACGGGTATCGAAACCAAGATTCTAACGTTGTAATTACGCAGACATACCGCTGTGCTACTGGGGGCATTTAATATAAGAAAAAAAAAGCAAAACATACCTCGGTTTTCTAGCGTAACATAATACGACAAGCGTGTCTATATATATATATATTGTAGGTTGTTTGTAGTTAAACACAAAGCTACACAATGGGCTATCTATACCACGTCCACCACGGGCATAGAAACCAAGATTCTAACGTTGTAATTACGCAGACATACCGCTGTGCTACTGGGGGCATTTAATATAAGAAAAAAAAAGCAAAACATACCTCGGTTTTCTAGCGTAACATAATACGACAAGCGTGTCTATATATATATATATATATATATTGTAGGTTGTTTGTAGTTAAACACAAAGCTACACAATGGGCTATCTATACCACGTCCACCACGGGTATAGAAACCCAGTTTTTAGAATTGTAAGCCTTCA